CACACAAAACCGCGGAGAGAACGAGGGTTCGCGGCTCCACCCAGCAGAGGAGGAGCCCTGGATTCCAATGCCCCTCAAAGGTCCGGCGACCTCTCCCGGGCTGGAGAGTCCACAGCCTCAGCAAACACCTTTGCATAGCCAAGTCCCCAAGGTTCCAACGACCCGTGTCCACTGCACATCCTCTATGCCCTTTACACATTCCATGTTTCCCTGAAGACCCTAAATGTTCACCCCCTATCAACTTTCACTAAGCCCTCCCCCCAAATACATATGCCCCTGGAACCCCTCCCAGCCCCTAGTGAACCCCAATACAGCAACCTCCACGTGCCACCTCAACTCCAAACACACACGGTGTCCCCACCCAAAACACACGGGAGACCCCCGCCAGAGACCCCTAGACCCTGAGGACTCAGGATAAGGAGAAGAAAGATGGGGAATAAGTGGGCAGATCTGCCAACCACAGGACACATGATAAACATGCTCTGTGAGCATGTGACCATTCTGGCCTGGAAACGCAGGTATACACACGTGCACACAAACACACACATCTTCCCCAGACACGAACATGACATACACACATATACATACACACACAGATGTGACAGACATCACACACATTCTCTGTATACACTCCACCACCACCTGACTTTGCCTTACAGAGATGTGCTACCCACACACCCCCATGGTATGGGGTTTCCATGACAATGACACACATCCCTGACCACCCACCCAGCCACCCACCCAAGGTCCCCAAACCGGCCCACAAGGCTAGTAGGGCCTGGACCGATCAGAAGGCTGGAAGGAGCCAACGGATGGGGACAGGTCACCGGCTCTCTAAGGGAAAGAAACTGGTAGCCTGAATTCCTGAGGGGAGGGGGAGCTGGTGGGAAAAAGGGGTCACCCGGGGGTTGGAAGAATGGGGAACCTGGATCTCTGGGTCCGGGAAGGGAAATGCAGTGGAAGGGGGCAGTGACGAGGGGGTTTCCGGGGGCTGAGGGCGTCTCTCTGCACCTTGGCTGCAGATCTCTGTTCTCTGCCTTCATCTCCCCTCACTGTTCCCATGGAAACCTTTTAAGCGAACTTCTCAGGAAGACAAAAATCTTTTTTTAAATGACTAAAGAGGGGGTTGGGGGGGGCAGAAAGGGGGAGGGAGGGGAAGAGACAGATGGAGAGAGGGAGAGAGTTGGAGAGACAGACCGAGCAGATAGCTCTACAGACAGAAAGGAGATGAGATGGGAGTCTGATGGACTTTCGCCGGGAGCAGAGGGGAGGGACGGGGTAATCAAGAGGGGTACAGAAAATAAGAGAAATCAGGGAGGAAAGAGAAAGGGGGTGATACAACTGCAGAAAATAGAAGCAGCTGATGAGAGAAGAAAAAAAGGGGGCAAGAAAAGGAGACCTCAAGGACTGAAAGTCCGGAAGAAGAATCAGGAGCATAGGGGTGGGGCAGAGGTCTGGGGGGAGGGCAGGAACTAGGTCATTCTTTCCAAGATCCCAGACCAGGGGCTGGGAGGGGCAGGGGCAGGAACACATGGACTGGAAGCTAAAGATCTAAGGAGACTATTTTTACAAGCACCAGGAAAATAGTCAAACTTCATTGCTGGAGAGGAGAAAGGGAGCGAAGCCGAGCGAGGACCTACAGGGGCCTCTCACCCACAGCCCCTGTCCCGCTCCACCTTCCAGAGGAGGGCGCCATCTCCCCTCGGGAAGCGAGACTTTGTCTCCACCTTCTCCCGCCCCCGGCCAGCTCCCGCAGCTCCCCGACGCCCCCGCCCCGCCAGCCCCGTCCACCTTCAGCCCTCTCCCCTCGCCTGTCCGGGGCATGAGAGCCTGCTCGGCCGCCGTACCATGCTCGCCGTGGGGCCGCCCCTCCACCGGCACGGAGACTGTGCGTCTCAGCAGTTTGTTGCGACTGGACTCGCTCCTCCGGTCCCGGATCAGTAGCGGGTGTATCTAGGGGAGGTGGGGGTGTCTCAGACCTCCCTGGCCCACGCCGCCCTTCCCCTCCCTCTACCCCCCTCCGCCCCCTCCCAGGAAGGGCGGGCCTCCCTTTCCCCCCTCAGCCTGCCCACCTTCTGCCCCGGCCCCTCCACACTTGGTGACTGGATCTCTCCCTTCTCTCCCCCAGTCTCTCTCTCTCATTCCTTCCCGTCCCACCCTCTTTTCTCCCTCCATTTGTCTTCAAACAGCTTCCTGAGAATTCTCCCAAACCCTACTCAGCTCTTCTGCAACTCCTCAGAAGTTAGCTACTTCCTGAATCCAGTTTTCCCTTGACCTTCAGTTCCTCCATTCTCCCTGCTTTCCTCCCAACCTCCCACCTCCCTTACCCCCTTCTCTCCCTCCGAGCCTGTCACGGGGGTAGCAGAAGCTGCATTTATAATCAGGATCCACAGCTTGTCTCCCTCCCACGGCCCGGCTTGCGGCCAGACTGGGACCCAACCTCCCCTCCCCCCAGAGGGCCTGGTCACCTTCCCCCACCTTTCATCTCCTTCCATCACCCGACCCAACATTTCTCAGTTCCCTTCTTCCCCTCAGCTATCACCTTTCCCTAAGCTTCACACCCCACTCCCCCTGTCCACCTCCATCCCTACCTCCATACACCTCCACCCCTGCAGTCTCCTCCACCTTTACCAAGAGCCACAGGAACAGACCCCTCACTATCTCCCAGCCCCAGTTCCACCACCCATCCAATTGCAACTCCCTGTGTCTGTCCAGGCTGCTCATTTTCCCAGTTCCATCTACTCCCCCTCCCACACACATGCCCTTCCTACTCCAGACCGGCCATTCCAATTGCCCCTCAGCTTGCTGGCCACTGGTCCCTTCAATCTGTCCCTATCTCTGTCATTCCTTCATTACCCCAATCCATGGTCTTCCCTCTTCATCCCTATAACAGTACCCACTCTTGGTTCCAGTTTCTCCCATTTCTCCCACGGACTCCAAACCTTCATCAAGGGGTTTGACCACAGTCACTCAAATCTCTCCCAATGGTGTCCAAAACTTAGACTCCCCAAACCACCTTCCCTTTCAAAGTCACCATATCCTCTCCTTAACACCTCTAGTTTACTCTGTGGCCTGGAAGCTGTCTACCCAGCCATCTCTCCACACTCTCACCTGCCCCCACAGGTCCCTTGACACTGTAGTTAGCCCTGACTCGAATTCTAACCCTTCCTCATCACACCATTCCCAACAACTTTCAGGGCCCATTTCTCATCACATTTGGTTTTCCAGGCTACCCTACCATTCTTTAAAGCTTGTCCCCCAAATCACCCCCATTCCCTGACTCACACTTATGGGGTATCCTTCCAGTTTTCATCCTCTATTTCCTCCGATGGACACTCCTACTGACCCAGCTCCCAAATCAGAACCCACACTCCCCTGGCTCTCAGATCTCCATACCTGGCCACCACCTTCCATAAGAGGCCTCTGTCCATTTCATCTCCTTTACTCTGGCTAGTCCCTGCCCCTACTCCACTCCTACTCCTTTAGATAACTCCACATACTCCCAGTTCCCCTCCCTTATATTCCTTCCTGATGTCCAACCATTCCCTTGCAGAATCCCTCTCAGTGTCTCTCTAAACCTTGATCTCAGTCACCCTCCCAGTCTTCACCCCCATCATGCCAAGATCCACTGACCTCAGTCTTCTCTCCTATTACCCTTCAGCTACCGAAAACCTCCTCTATCCCCTGCCTTTTCTCTGGGTCCTGCAATTTCTCCTCCTTGCACTCTGCCCCCTGATGGAGAAAGGACTGGGAGTCTTGCTCAGTGGGCAAAGCAGAGGGCTTTCCATGTCTTCACCCTTTCTCCAAACCTTTCAGTTCCCCTTCCCCATTCTAACCTATCCTACAATATGGACAGTATGAAAACAGGAGCCTCCCCACCCCAAAATCTTCAGACACATCTCCTCCCCAACACAGTTCATAACCCTCAAAGACTCCCTTCCCAAAGTGAGAGGATGACTACCCCTCTTGTCACACTCCAACCCAAGTCTCAGTGGCCACCCTCCTGCCATTTGCAAATGCTTCTTCTTTGTCTGCCTTCTTTGTGTCTCTCTCCCCTTCAGTAATGAGGATTCTCCCCATTCTCCCACATGCCTTTCCCCAGCCTTCTCACCCCACTCACCTCATCCTCATCCAGCATGAGCAGCTGGTTCCCCGAGATGATGCAGAACCGAGGGTTCCAACCAGGACGATCATACGGGGAATGAACATATTGGGTTCGGTGCATAGAGGGTCCCCGTACATCTGGGAGACAGAGATACACAGAAACAGTAAGGGAGGCTCTATGTATTTGGAAGCAGAGGCCTAAAATGGCAAGAAGAGAGTCCACAAAGTGAGAAGGGGACCCCACCAGCCTTCAGGAGATCACAGTTGAAAGTGAGGCACCTGGCAACTCTAAAGGAACACAAGACAAGCGTTTATACATAGGGGAAAAGAGGAGAGGATCACATCACAGAAGGCTCTGGAGACTTGGGGGAAGAAATGCAGAGGTTCAGGGACGGGAATTATATGACAGAGAAGGTACACGTTTGGGGACAGAGAAAGAAGAAGGAGCTCTCCATCTACTTCAGGAAAATAAGGTGGAGATGCCACAAAATTGGCAGGAGAAAAACAGAGAAGTTGGTGTCAGATATCTGGGTAGAGGAAGGCATCCAAATAGCTGCAGAAGACAAGGACTTGGAAGGTGGCACCATCCCTCTATAAAAGAGTATGAGGAAAGCTACACAGCTGTGGGAAAGAAGGATGGGGTGTGTGTGTAGGAACACTGGGATCATGAGATTCAGAGGGCTAAATATCTAGAAAAGAGGAAGTCAGGGAGCTTACCTGTTCACAGAGTCAGAGACATGAGAGGGCCTCCCCTCCCAACTCTCCCTCCTCTGTGCCCTCCTCCCCTAGTTCAACCCTGTTCATCCTTTAGGGAAAGTTCTGGTTCTTCTGGTGTTAAGGAGAAGATGGCTTTTGTCGGCATCTGGTTGTGGAGGGGCCAGGGCAGAATGTGAGAAATATGCCCTTGTTTGGACGAGTGGAGACCAAATTTATCTCTTCCCCCGTTCAGTGCCCAGAGATTCAACACTGCCCCCACCACCTCACCCCACCTAGTCTCAATGGACAGGATGGAAGCCACTCCATAGGTTAGGAGCCTTCCCAAGGCACAGTGAAGAGCCTGAGGAAGAAAGAGGTCAGGGGGAAAGAATGGAATATCCAGGCCTGGTGACATAGAGGGGCCTCCAAAGACGGGAGCTGGAGATGGGAACAAAACTTTCAGAAGAGAGAATAGTAGACCAAGTGTCACCCATGGCTGAGATGATCCCACGGTCCTCCTTCCCCAATTCTGTTGTTCTTGCCATACCGCTTTTCCTGCAAACTGCCTCTCCTTTAAACCCCAATGCCACACAGGGCCTATTGAAGTAAGAGAGATGTCACATTGGTGACAGCAAAGAGAAATCAGCTTAAGGTATCAGATTTTAGATGGAAAAAAAGATCAAACTCTGTCACTTTTATGGGATAACCATGAGTATACTGCAGGAGAACTGGTCTTTGAGCTTCATTCCAACAGAATGCACTGAGTAGCAGAGTTTTGCAAATTCAGCCCTTTTCTGTCTATAAATATATCTCTCAAATTTACCCAGCCTCCAGATCACAGTGAGCGATGAATGTCCACCTCAGAATGTCCACCATCTAGAAACCACAATACTTTGAAACTCTATCTCAACCCATTTCCAGAGACTAACTAATGTTCTCTAGACACAAAGATCACCAATACCTAGCCTCTGAAACTACAGACATTGCTGGCAACATGCCCACCGCACTTAGACATTTGGTATACTCAGAAGAGAAATCTGTTGATACACATAAGCATCTTGGGAAAGGGCTGGTTCAGGCTGCAGCCAAGGGAGGCAGGTTAGACTTCAGAGGGCATCTTTCTCCTGGCAGCAGGGAACTTAGGAACAACTCTAGAAACACACACACACACACACACACACACACTGTCTGGACTTGGTGAAGAATGATTCTGGGAGGCAGATGCAAGAGGCAGAGGAACATGACTGAGAAAGGGAAAATTTTTACTAGCATGAGAAATCTCTTAAGGGCTGAGATGGGGATCCCTTGTTCTAATCATCAAAACCTGTGTCTTTGTAACCCAAATCTCCAACACCCCAATAAGTAGAGGAGACAAGAAAAGAGAAATGATAATAAGAGTTGAGGTATTAAGGGAAAGTGGGTAGGCACAGACTTGTGGTGACAAGGAATGGTCTGGGGGACAAATAATAGGAGTAGATATAAAAGAAAAGGAGGCAGAAATGATGGTAAATGCCTAGGGGCAAGGGAATACACCTGAAGGGCTCGACTGGACGTGTCAGAGCAAAGGAGGCAGACCTAATGCGGGGGCTATGACAAGGGGTCAAGACAGACTAGTAGAGAAGCGATAGAGATATAAGGGGGCGACCACATAGAAAAGAGATAGAGAGAGGCAATGGACACCAGAGAGGGGACTGATATAGGGGAAGGACAGAAGGGGGAATCATATAAGGAACGGACACCATATGGGGGGAAAGATATAGGTGATGGACAGCAGAGGAGGGAGGGGGAATGGAAATAAGGATTGGAGGGGTGGGGGAAGGGGGTAAAAGTGATGAAGTGAAGATAGCATTAAGACCCCAGAGGTTACGTTTCACTGGTCAAGAGCCTTTAAGAGGGTCAGAGGCTGGGGCAGGATCCTAACCTGTCCCCTACTCCCATCACTTAATTTTACTTATATTGCCACCCCACCAAGCACACATAATTTGGCCCTCCCCCTGCCCTGGTCTCCCCTCCCCCACCATTCCATCTCTCCTCTCTTCCCTCCATCTGGACCCTCCATCCCCCCACCCCCCACTGCCTCCCTCTCTCTCCATCTGGCCCCTTCTCTCCCTCCATCCTCCTCTTTTTCCACCCCTTACCATACTCTGAGTCCCCCACCAAATTCTCCCCCCACATCTTCTTGGCTTCTCTTTTCACCCCTATGTTTTCATTTCTCCCTCCTAGCCCCTCTTCCAAGACTCTGTCCCTCTATTTCCTTGATGTTTTCCTCATCACTCAGCTCCCACCCCCAAATTATTTCTGCAGCTTTTTCCCCAACCCAATCCTTCTACCTTCCCACCCCTTTCTGGCGCTTTCTTTCCCCTTCATCATTTTCCCTTCAGCCCCCTTTCAAGGCCCATTTCCTGGCCCCTCCGTCCCTTATCTACCCCTATCCCTCTGGCCTCCAATCCCTCCTTCCCGGTTGCTCCCACCCCTGCCTTCCCGGTCCTCCCCTCTCTCTCCATTTCAGCCGCTCCCCTCCCTTGGCCCCGACTCTCCCCCGCCCCCTGCCC